GATAGATAGATAGATAGATAGATAGATAGATAGATAGATAGATAGATAGATAGATAGATAGATATAGAGATATGTGTGTATGTGTGTGTATATGTGTGTATATACATACACACACACACACATACATACCTTTATGCTGCTTTTCCTTTAGCATAATTTATTCCTCTATATGCCCAGTTATTATTTTTTTCTTTTATTACTGTTTCTATCAATTTCCCTGAAATAAATGTTATATGCACATACATTGGTCTACCATCTTCCAGATCCCTTTTTAAAAATTAACTACCTTCTGATAAGTTACATACTTTGCTAGATTGTCCACAATTTCACGTTTCAGTTCTGCTATAAGGATCTAATAATATGTTCCTAAATATCTTCTTTTTCTACCTCAATTTGCTTTAATTATATAGTTGTATAGAATTCTATGTAGTATATTCTATCTTTAGCTCCAGAACGAAAGGTGGAATATAACTCTAAGTGATGAGAATAAAAGCCTCATTAAGGTTCTTTATAAAATAAAAACACATTCTGTTACCATGTGGTTCCAGATGATCCAGTTAAATATGAAATACAGTCCAAAAGCTTCATTCTCTGGAGACCCCAAAGGGAGCCATAAAGAGCTGTTAATGCTCTCATTCCAGCTCCTGTTGTTGTCATAGCAATTACTGGCACCTGTTCAATGAAGGAAAAGAACATGTTACAATTGTGAAGGAAAAGAAAGTCCTCAAAGAATGCCATAATTTTTTTTTCAAACTAACATATTTGATTTGTCATTATAAGACTGTATTTCATCACGTGCAATATCAGATTGGGATGTGTATGAGAAAAAAATAGATGGATTACATAAATATAATAGACAAAATTGTATATGCACTTTGAAACAGAGAAAATTAAAGAAGGACTTTTGAGTTCAAAAATGCCAAAACAGCCAAACCCAAATACTATAATATTATGTTGTAAATTGAGTCGGACCCAATTTTACAATTTTTACAGTAATTGATAAGCGAATTACTGCAGTCATTAAGCCAATCATGGGATCATTAAGTGAATCCAGTTTTCTCAATAAGAATTTTTTTGCCAGAAATTGATCGGGGGGAGAGTCATAAATCATGATAACATGACTATAGGATAATGCAAACAGTTGAAAAATTGAACCAGTTGCCAAGTGCCCAAATTGCATGACTGCAGGAAAAAAAAAGTCAAGTACAAAGAGAAAAGATACAAAGAAATACAAATACATACTTTTAATTTCTTTTTCTTTTTTTGCAGCAAATGCAAATAAGTTTACAAAATTGTATCTTACTCTTTGGTAAAAAAAAAGAAAAAGCTCTCTTTTTTTAGCTAGTGTTTTTTTTTTTAAATCATCCAAACCCACAAATCATAAGTTCATTTTTTTTTCATACAAGTCTGTAAGTGGAGGTCAGTAAATTCATAGCAGTTTGGAGGGAATCGGGTTGATACTGAGGTTGGACTAGAAGACCTCCAAGGTCCCTTCCAACTCTGTTATTCTGTTACTGTGTTGTCCACTTACTTCATGGTCATTCAGGTCTTGCCCTAAAGGAAGAATACTTTTCAGAGCGGCAGCTACCACTTTCTTTCGTTTCTGCAGGAAATTGTTTTCATCTGAGCACAGACCATATCCTAGGCGCACATCAAGAGCTTTTGGTCTTCTACAAAACAGCCCCTGGGTCCTAAGGTAGACAGGAAATTCATTATAAATGTTGCTGTATCATATTGCCTTGAATCTAGCAAAGATCATTTATTAATCTGTGAGAAGACTAATCACATACAACTCATTGTATCAACTTATCAAAAGCCTTGAAAAGAACAAATAGCTTCATTGTAAAACATTGCAACATCAGGGCCACGACAACTACTTTTGCAACAACCTGGATAGACAATTATAGAGAGACATATAGAGAGAAGCAGGGAAATGACTAGAAGCCAGCATGGATTCATTAAAAATGGGTCATGTAAAACAAATCTTATGACTTCCTTAGACAATGTGATTAGACTGACAAACCAAGTGACTACTACAATCACTTAAACTTCACTAAGGCATTGGATAAAGTAGATCGTTGCCTCCTTGATAAATTGGAACATTGAGCCTGTGCAACAAAATGTTATTCAGTTGTGTGAAATGTTAGTTTCTGCATTTAAACAGGAAAAGATAGATGCATGAAATCGACAGTCCTCAACATACAACCAGTTGCTTAACAATCATTCAAAGTTACAATGGATTTAAAAAATGTTATTAATGACCCATCTTTGAAATTATGACTGCCACACCACCAGCATGGTCACATGATTACATTTTGGGCTCTTGCATTTATGACCAGCTGCAGCATTCTGGGGGTCACATGATAACATTTTGTGAAGTTTTGGGTATTTGGGGAGAAAAAAGGCAAACCCCCAAAATGGATTTAAGTTGGATTTAGACTTAAAACCATGTGAGTCAGTACAAAACAGTAGGAAACAACTAGAATCATTTGCAAATAGGAAAACTAATTGCTCTTTTTTAAAATTTGAGACAGGGAATATATTATTAATAATTAATAGAATTACTGTTCATTCTGCATTTTCTCCATTTACTTCTATAGGAATAGTCCTTGAAATGACAGTATCAGGGTGTTGAAAGTGAATATGGCAGCTAATACCATGCAGTCAAAGCCTACTTACCTTTTTAATGTGTTACAAATTTAAAAAATGGGATTAGGTTTTAATTGCTTGTTCATGGCTGCTTTTATGGCTTTTTTGAGTGCTGCTATTCATTCTTCTAGGCAACATGTCAGCTGGTTAAAATTATTTTTCATATTAAAATCACATTAGGTTGGTACTACAATAAATCAAGTCATATTAAGACCAAAAGAATTAGACAATGTGTGTGAAATTATAGTTCAGGATTATAAAATCCCTCCTTACCATTCCTTTGCCTTCACACTCAAATCAAATATTTTGTCCTAAAAAAAAGAAATAAAAGGTGGTTAAATGCTAGAGGATGTTTATGCTTTCATTTATTTCAGTTTTCGAATACATTTTACTTTCACAATAATATATATCTTTGTGGCTCTGTAAGACTTTCAATGTGCAAAGAATTAGGCACAAGCAATTGCCTCCATCCTACAGTATTGCAAATTGGAAGCTTTATCGCAAAATTAGATAGATTAACCCAGATATATATTCCCCAAGATCCAGGTTTTAACATAATAATTACCGCACTTTTTGAAGTATAAGACACACTCCCCCCACTAAAAGAGGGTGAAAATGTCGGTGCGTCTTATACACCAAATATAGCCATTTTTGGTCTCCCCAAACCCTGCCCCATGCATTTGCTTTTGCCAAAAATGGCCCTGTTTTTCACAAAAATGGGGCGTGCAGAGGGTTTGGGAGGCCTGCAAAGTGCTCCGGGGGGGCTGGGGAGAGCAAAAACTCTCTGGGGGATTTAGGAGGCCAAAACGGGGCCATTTTTCACTCATTTTTTGCAAAAATGGGGCATGCGGATTTGGGAGGCCTGCGGATTGTTCATGACGGTTGGGAAGAGCAAAAACCAGACACGCAGCAGCCAAAAAATAATGTTTTTCTTGTTTTTCTCTTCAAAATCTTGGTGCATCTTATAGTCCAAAAATATGGTATATATTTAATATAATAGTTAAATAAATAATTAATGATCCAATCAGATTTACCTGATATAAATTAGCATAGACAATAGAAAAACCATCTAACAAGGTCATTTAGATAGTCATAGGTTCATAACTATTTTGTAGATCTTTAATTGTTTCTTATTAATTTTTTAAATTTAAATTAGGCAAATGAAAAAACAAGATTTACTTCATGACTGACTAGTGATCAAAAGAACTCTTGAACCCAATCATAATGCAATAAGTGAAGCTTAGCTGAAATACAAATTTATGAAGAAATGTTGGTAATATCTGAAACTTTTAAATCAATTATATCCTCCTTCCCCCTTGGTGCTGCATAATGCCACAAAACCTAGCATACTTTGGACTATGGTTAAAAGTTACATCAAACAACAGGACTAATAAGAAGGAACTGAAAAAATATTCCTATGAAAATGAAAGTACAAGTGGCATGTTTGAAGCCAATAACATTGGGCATTATGATATAGTCACATATGTGAAAACACTTGCCCTCTTTGCCCAACCTTGATACCCGTTTTCATATTGTCTCTTTGAACTAAAAGTATATTTGCATATTTTTGTCCTAAAAAAGCAACAGCTGATTCTCACCGGTGTTATCGTCACTTTCTCATTTATTGGAAGTGAGTTCAAAGGAACAGTTGTTGATTCATTGCTTTGTCTGGAAATCTGCAGATAAAATAAATAAGTTCTGTCCATTACTGACTGCGATGAAATCATTTGAATTTCAATAAATAAGTAAATTTCTGCTAGGAAAAAGTGTGACAAGGAATTGGTTGCAGCTAGAATAGCTGTAGTGATCATGAAGGAATTTTTGATGCCCAAGAAGTGGAATGACCACTGGTTTTCCTCACCACTAATTCTTTTCAAGGTATTTAAGCAACTTTGGCGTTCTGATTTTTGGAAGTGTTCTAGATTGACTACTAATGAGTGTTCTTCGATGGCAGTCCATTGCTCAGCCCAAATGTTTGTTCCCCCTCCCATCAAACTACTAAGAAATATAAGGCATTTCCACCCAACCCCAAAGTCACATTTGTACTGACATTCTCATCACAGATGCCAAGAAATTGATCAATGTGACCTACCTCCTATTATTATCATTATCATATGGCAATGTTACAATCCAGGAGACCACAATTCAATTGCAGAGTTGTAGTTTGGCTTGCCAAGGTACCAGTCCTGTTATAGAACACACTTATGCACTTTCCAAGGTACCACACAGGAGGACAGGCTGTCTTCACATCAGAGAGAAAGTGTGGCTCTTCCTTCATTATCACCCAAGGCCCTCTTTCCTGGAGCTGCTTGGCAAGTGAGCACCGCAACAAGGAAGGTTCAGAGCCATCAGGAATCTGACTACATGCACACCCCACCAAAATGGTACCTATCTATCTACTTGCATTGAACATGTTTTCAAACTGTTAGGTGGACAGAAGGTGAAGCAAGTGGCAGGAGCTCATCCTGCCGTGCAATGCTTGGCCTCAAACTACAGATCTGAGACCATCTCTAGAGTCAGTAAGCCATTGAGCCACCATGCCTCTTACTTCCATTCCCTCCAATGAGGCTGTACAAAACAATGATGCTCCAACCACTGCCCCAGTCCTATCTCAAAATTGCCATGTCAGGTTTGTTTTGTGGAGTGGAGTATAAATAGGTACTGGTGTTAAAGACACCAAGTTGTGCATTAAATCCAGCAATCAGGATTGGGGAACAGTATCAAGGTGCAAGAGATTATTTACAAAGTTTCCCCTGGAGCAGCAGTTGAAGCAGAAGTGGCTCAGCTGCTGGAGGCCTCCCAGGACCAACAAAGTTGTGGAAACACAGCTATGCAACACACTCTCAGATAGGCACAGGCTATGAGCATGGAGACAAGCAACTTACTGCACAGAACTGTCTTGGCAATTCAATGTTAAGGTCTGATTGGTTATATTTAATATAGTGAAATTTAGCAGGAGAAGCAGGGCAAAGCCAGTAACCTAAACGGAGATTTTCAGCTTCTTCATAGGATCCATCCACTGAAAGAGTAAAATTTCTGTCTAAATGAAAGACAAAACAAGATTATTAATTAATGATCCTATGAAAATATACATAAACATTGAAAATTTAGATTTCTTGATTAATGAAAAAATTATAGGAAGGAAGGAAGGAAGGAAGGAAGGAAGGAAGGAAGGAAGGAAGGAAGGAAGGAA